GGGTAAGGTACAGAGTAGATTCTGGTAAGAAACATTGTACAAAAAAAACATTAGTCATGAGATATAAATGAGAGAAACATAAATACAAAACGCTTCAGTCTCACTATAAAAAGACATTTTTGCTGCATCATGAAATAAATCAGGAATCTGGTTTTGAGTGAAATAAGTATTTATAAATATATTTGTTAAGCATTTATAACGTGAGTTAAAAATGGCTCACTATTTGGCAGGTATTGCATTAAAATCAGCTTTCTATTCATGCATTTATAACTGTATATCAATGATTTATAATGCATTTTTAAGTGAGTTATTAGTCATGTATTAACACCTTTATAAACCCTTTATAAAGGGAACCTTAATGTAAAGTGTTACCGACATATTTTATAACGTTAGAACAATGACCTTTTCTATAAAAATAGAATGTATTATATACATGTGTAACATGCCGTCGGATAATGGCAGTATCATATAAACTTCTCTATGAAAAAAAACCTCGAAATAATAATCAAAACGGTAAGATAGCTTTATATTCACACTAAAACCGATACTGGTCTGCGCTTCACTATAATGTAAATGTCACGCAGCTTTGCCACACAGATTTTGATAACTGGACAGCTAAATAAAATGTGTGGTGTGCCAAAGAAATAGACTAAAGGGTAATGTGGCTGCAGATCTGAGGTACATACATATTTCTGCAATAAGCACCTAATATTTGCCATATAGAATCTATGCCTACACAGAAGCAAGCCCTGTCTAGGCGTTGCCCCAGTATGGTTTGTGTCAAGCCATTTGTTAGTCTGGTTGTTTGATGAGAGGGAGATGAACGCAGGAGTTGCAATAAACGCTTTAACAGCGGAGGACTCTTATTCTGTTGCACAAAACCGAAGACGACATGATGACGGCACCATCTGATGCTTGCTTGACCAATCAGTGGAAAGGGGCGTTTCATTTTCCACCCAAATGTGGAAATCAAACATTCAAACTGTTTATCCATTTTCTACCCCTGAATGTAAAAACAGAAAATCAAGGCGATTTCTGTTGTTTTTTCGTTTTTTTTTAAATCAAGGCGATTTCTTGTTTATTCTTAAAAAAAAAAAAAACTAAAATGGTGCCGTTTTCTCATGTTTCTGTTTTCAATGTTAAATAAAAAAAACGAATGAACGATCCGTGTAACCCTTTGCAGTTCTTTGTTCAATTCGCACCATCAAA